CTAACTGCTGCCGTAAAAGGTTATCGAGCGATTATTACTCTTCCAGAAAAAATGAGTCAGGAAAAAGTACATAAATATAATACTTGTCATTATAAATTATTATCGCGGCTGAAGCTAGAAATTAGAGTCCTCTATTTAAAGATATAAATCCACTTATACTTTTTTATTATAAAACTAGCTCTAACCTAATTATTGTACAAAAAAAAAAAAAAAAAAAACCAAAAATGCACCCTAAAAATTTTGATAATTTCACATTAAAATATTTAAAATTTCTAGCTTTAGCCGTTTCCAGCTTTAGTCATAACAATTATTTTTGATTCATTGATTAAACTGATCTATTTAGGTTGATATACTCAAAGCTCTTGGTGCAGAAATTATTCGTACACCAACTGAGGCGGCATGGGATTCACCAGAATCACATATCGGGGTTGCTAAACGGCTCAATAAAGAAATTCCAAATTCGATTATTTTGGATCAATACTCAAATCCATATAATCCTATCGCTCATTATGATCATACTGCGGAAGAAATTTTGAAATCATGTGATGGAAAGATAGATATGTTTGTTGCGGGTGCAGGTACTGGTGGAACTATTACCTGTGTTGCTAGAAAATTAAAAGAAAAGTGTCCAGGGGTTAAGATTGTTGGGGTGGATCCGGTTGGATCACTTCTTGCTGAGAAAGCGAAAGGTGTTGATACCCCTATTTTACCGTACTTGGTAATATTAATGATTATTTCACATTTACAAATTGCGATTTCTTAGATCGAATAATAACGATTTTTTTCAGGTTGAAGGTATTGGCTATGACTTTATTCCTGAGGCACTTGATCACAGCGTGATTGATGAATGGGTAAAGACAGGTGATAAGGAATCTTTTATAATGGCCCGTCGTCTAATTCGTGAAGAAGGACTCTTGTGTGGTGGTTCATCCGGTGCAGTGATGTGGGGTGCGATTCAAGCAGCAAAGTCACTGAAAAAAGGTCAACGGTGTGTTATCCTATTAGCCGATTCAGTGCGGAACTACATGACTAAATTCTTGAACGATGATTGGATGAAGAAACACGGATTTATCGATGAATAGTGATTCTGGCTAATAAATGAAAAATTCGACTAAAGCTAATTTTCGGCTTGGTCAGTCGATCTTTTCAAATCGGCTGACCGATTTCTTATAATGATAATAAGTTCCTGAAAGTTCTTTTTTTGTATAATATATATTACAAATAGCAAATAATAAATTATTAGAATAAATTGTCGATGCAACTTTAAAGGAATTTTATTCATTAATGTTAACTGCTTTTGGTAAATTTAATCAAATGTAATCACGTTCGTTAGAGTTTTTTCATAAGATCGATTGTTTTCTCATAGGACTGAAATTTATTCGGATTGCGCAAAAACTAATTTTTAATTTTCGGGCCTTAACGGTGATACTTTCCGCGGCATTTCGTGCTACGCAGCAAAAAAACGCGATTGTTTTTTATTTTCATGTTACACCTGATCTTGCGTTACTATATAGATAGCTTTGATTGGGAGGATAAAAAGCATCAAGGAAAAAAAAAAAAAGTTGAGAACGTGTTTTCTTCAGACCTTTGGTTATGATGGCGCGTCCAAAATTG